ATCCAAAGTAAAATGAGCTTATAAGATTGTAAACAGGGAACCAGAGACATCAATTGGCAAGTGAGGACAACTACAAACAAAAAAGAGGGAAAAGACTGTGTAATCACAGAACTTCTAAATGGTGAGGAAGTTAAGAGAGTTGCAAGATAGAATGGACTGTTGTAACAAGTTCTGTACCTCACACCTACACAAAAACGAACTCCAGATGAATCAAAGACTTAAATGTGAAACCTAAAACTATACAGTTCCTCAAGGAAAATCTAGAGGCAAATTTAAGGGCCCTAATATATGGCAAAAATATACAATAGCCAAAAGATGGAAACAACCTAGGTGTCCATCAACTGAGGAATGGATAACCAAACTATGGGCATACACACAATGGAATACTATGCAAAGCTAAAGAATAATGTACAATCTGCAAAGCACCGCATAACGTGGATGAACTTGGAGGACATCATGCTGAGGGAAATAAGTCAATCACAAAAGGACAAATATTATATTAGACCGTCATTGTAAAAGTTAAGGAAAGGTTTATCTATAGAAGGATATTTTCTTTGTTGGTTACCAGGGGTGGGAGGGAAGAGGAGGGAAGGCTGTTAGTTAGATAGAGATAAGTATTGATTTGGGTGAAGAGAAGGGCAATGTACCAAATGTGAGTGACCAATATGGCAGCATTGAGGATGAGAAAGACATAGAGGTACATGGGAGGTACAGACAACAAATATGAATCCTTTTGCACATACAGTACTGCGTTGTCAGTGAAGGCAAGCATGGGTGTTTGGGTGGTTAGATGGGAAAAAAAATCATTTTCATGGGTCATTTTTCTGAAGATTTATGAGGAAAAGGGGTCATATAAATAATAAATAGAACTATCTGGTTTGTAAACTTTATTAGCTAATAATTTTATCATTGACCTTGACCTGGGAATTCCCATCCTGTTCTGGTAGTGAATAATCTAAATGGTATCTTGTTGCTTTTTGTTGTTTTCCATTTCATCAGCATCACCTGGAGGGCTTTTTAAAATGCAGATTGCTCTAGTTTCTAATTCTACAGGTCTAGGATAAGGCCTGAGAATTTGCAAGAAGTTCCCAGGTAATGCTGAAGCTGCTGGTTCAGGAATAACACTTTGAGAACCACTGTTTCATAGTGGCTCAATGGCTAAGTGCTTGATTGCTGACAAAAAAGTCAGCAGTTCGAAAACTCACCAGCTGCTTCATGGGAGAAAGATGTGGCAGTCTGCTTCCATACAGATTACTACTTTAGAAAACCTATGGGGCAGTTCTGTTCTGTCCTGTTGGGTTGCTGTGAGTGGGAATTGACTCCAGGGCAGTGGATGTTTTATTGGACAACAAGAGAAGTAAGTTAGAACTCCTGTTACCAGATACCTGATAGGGAACAGGTGAAGCTGAGGTAAACTGATTTTCAATTTACTTTCCTTAAAGTAAAGAAATTTAAAATTTTTAATTAAAAAAGACTTAAGATCTGTTGATAATCTGAAGTTACAAAATGACCCAAGAAATATCACATTAAAAATAGTTTAGATGATAAAGGGAAATAAGGATAATGCTACTTCTGGGAAGTTAGACAAGTGCTCTGATTTATTATTGTGGGGTGTGGGTGAAGGGAAGCATGAAATCTGACAGAAGCAAGTAAGAAATTATGATCCAGCCCTCAGTGGTTTATTGTTGTTGTTATGTGCCATCGAGTCAGATCCGACTCATAGCAACCCCTCCTTGAGTTTCGGAGGCAGTATCACTATGGAAGTAGATTGCCCAGCTTTCCTTCCGAGGAGGTCTGGTGGGTTTGAACCATCAGCCTTCTGGTAAGCAGTCAAGTACCTTAGGCACTATGCTACCAGAGCTCCTACTTTATAGAAACATATTAGGTTCATTGGAGCAGGTTACATCATTAATTGTAGGTGAAAAATGGAATTGCTCTTCATGCAAAAGACATGTTTTTTTCCCACCTCTGTGTAACCTAGGATGATAGCCACATGAAGAGTGGTAGTCTTTATTTATTTGTTTTTCCTGCAGAAGCAGTCCAACTCTTATGATATGTTCATGAGAGGGGAAGAAATACTCTCAGGAGCTCAAAGAATTCACGATCCTCAACTGCTAACAGAGAGGGCCTTACATCATGGAATTGGTAAACAACTTAAATATATTTAGGAGAGTATCTATTCTGAAAATTGCATTTTTTTTTTTAATTTTAAAGACTTAAGAAACATTCAAGTTTTTATCATCATTGTATAGTAATTGTTTTGTAACTGTTTAAAGCTAAATTGTGTGCTTATCTTAGTCATTTATTTTATTTTTTTCTTGGTGAAAATATACACAGCAGAAAATATACCATTTTAACAATTTCTATATGAAACTTTGTTTATTTTAGATTTGGAGAAAATCAAGGCTTACATAGATTCTTTCCGCTTTGGAGCACCTCCTCATGCTGGTGGAGGGATTGGTAATATTCTTTTAATATTATGTAATATGGTTTCCAAGCTAGATTCATTTGACAATGTGATAATTCAGAAGTAAATTTTATATATTATTATTGCTTACAGATAAGACCATAAATGCTAAGTATAATACAAACTTGTATTACAAGAATTTCCTTAAGTAAAATGACTAAAATGAAAAATTTATTTCCAAGGGACAAAATGAACAGCTAACTTATGTGTTCTGAAATACGGTTGCTATGAAATTCTAGTCATCCTTTCTCTCATAAGAGTTTAGAAGCAAAATGTCTTATAAATTACATATCCTGTTTTCTCTCTGCATCCTTGAGCTCATTCAGATCAGCCCAACTTAAAACTGTCCCTTGAATTAGCCCAATTTAAACTAAGTCAAGGGAGAGCCATAATTTTGGCTAATCTGCTAAATATTATCATTGATATGTAATATTTGAATTGACATTTAGAACATCTTCTAGTATATATGTAATTTAAAATGAGTAAATGTTTAGTCACCTTTACCTCATGGGTGTCTGTATCAAATACTCTTAAAAAGAATTATAGATATATAAGATTTTTGGTGTGGGTTAATAGGTATAATAAATTCACTGTAGGTGGGTTCTATAAAGTCTCCGTAAATACTGAATTAGGGAAACCTAACTAGCCTTGTTTAACCTCAACTGGGGATTTTGTTGTTGTTTTTAAACTTTTTATTGTGATTTGGGTGAAATTTTCACAAACCAGATTTGTTTTACATTCAACAGTTCGTACACATTTTATTTTGTGACACTGACTACAATCCCCACAATGTAACAGATCTCTTCCCACCTCCTCCCTGTGGTTACCTGTTCCTTGTGTCCTTCTTGCCTATGCATTCCTGCCTCCCTAGCTTACTCCCTGTGCAAATACTGCCCTTCTGATCTCCCATGGTTGAATGTTCTTTTTGTGCGTGTGTGATTTGGGTGAAAATTTACAGAGCAAATTCACTTTCCATACAGCAATTCACATACACTTTGTCTCACGGCATTGACCACAATTTACCACAATGCAACAGCTCTCCTACCACTGCCTCCTGACAGTTACCTCTTCCCTGTGTCCCTCCCTCCATGCACTCCTGTCCCCTGAGCTGTCTTCCTGTACATAAACAGCCCTTCTTTTTCCCATGATTGTTCTCTCTAAAGAGTGTATCTAGCTCAGGTAAATGTTCAACTCATATGCCTGTCTTTTGTTTGGGTGGAAACCACAGGTGTGGGTTCAATGCCAGACCTGAAGAGCAGCTAGGGGCCATAGTCTCAGTGGTTCCACCAGGCTCTATCGGACCAGCAAACCTGGTTCCCAACTGGGGTTTTTTTGCCTGTCTGCACAGGTACATGTTTAGCACTGACCATAACAAAGAATATTTTTAGCAGATAGGCAAATCTGCAAATACAGAATCTTCAGATAATAAGGATCAACTCTAATATATACAGAATTTCAAATTAAAAAGTTAGAAAGTATACATTTCCTCTACAGGAAACCATTGTATCCTGCTTACCTTTTGCAAAGATAATCTTTACATATGCAAAAAAATATATACACACATATATGTATCTTTTTAATATTTTTACACAAATTTTAGCATACTACATTTAATACCTTGTATTTTTCACTTAATATATTTTGTAGCTCATTTCATATCAATACAAAAAAGTTTTATCGTTCTTTTTTAATGGTACATAGAATCCATTGACAGGGTACTCCATAATCTTGATAGCCAGCTTTCTGTTGACAGACATGTAGGTTGTTACCACCCTTTTGTTATCACAAACAATGCTACATTGAATATATATAGTTTAAATTTTAATGAGAAATTTAGAGCTGTTTTATTTAGTAATATGTGTTTTGCATACATATTTTACCAATTAAATTGATTAATTGACAATGTAAATTTTAACCTTAATTGTGAATAAGGAAGCTTGAATGGTTATAACAAGGTTTTGTATGCTTGTTTTAGCCAAAAAAGAAATTTCAAAATACCACTCATCTTTTGATAATTAAAGTTTGAGAAGATGGGACATGATTTTCTATTTATTTATTTATTTTTAAGATTAGCCTTCAGTTACATTACTGTAATAAAAAGTTCAGATTTATATCGGCAAATGTTTTTATTGAGCAGTAGCAATAAAACATTAATTCTCTTATAAAATGTTTGTGAATAGGTATGTTAAAACACATACAAAATGTTTTGCTAGTTCTGCTTTTTAGGTGGTACTTGGTCTTAATTCAGTCTGTTTTCTGTACTGAAAACAGTTAGTATAATAATAGACTCTACAGCCTTTTATGTTAGGGACCACCATAGTACCTATCAATAAAATTGCAATGAATTTCTTACACTTCCATTAATAAGTCTATTACACTCATCTTAAAATGATGGGTCTGATAAACATAATTAGGAATCTGGTATCATTTGAAAACAATTTATAAAGTGGTTTTGTTTTGCTTTTTATTATTTAAATCATAGATTTTGGATTTAATATTTGTAGTTCATATTTCACAAAATCCATACCACTTATAAAGATAAATTATTTAGTGCTTCCCACATACAACATAATCTCTGTTTCTGAATTCATACCCAAAACATTTGATTTTGAATAAACTCAAAATAATAAAAGTTGTTTTCCTTCCTAACAAGGAAAAGTATTTTGTTGAGCAACAATGATATGTTGGTAGTTCTGAAAAAATAAGACCCTGAGAGGTTTTCCAAAAAGGATTTAATGATTATTTTCTTTTTCCCAGGGTTGGAACGAGTGACTATGCTGTTTTTGGGATTACACAATGTTCGTCAGACCTCGATGTTCCCTCGTGATCCTAAACGACTCACTCCGTAAAGAAAACTCTGTTTTTTATTCTTTCCAGTAACCTGCTATAGTTCAGGCTGTACCTTAGGCACGTAAAATATGCAATAGAGTAAATGTCTCACCTAAAGTGCCACAATTCTTTTTGGATTAATTCACTATAGGTTAATTTAAAACAGAAGATTTTTATAACTTTGGACATGCTTCAGTAGAAAATGCTTGAACATTTTAATGAGAAATTTATATGATTATGTTGAAAATTCGTATTCCATTACCACAGTAAATGTTAACAACAGTTTTAAACAGTTAAGATTATGTGATTTTTTTCTTTTCTGTATTTACAGTGGCTACAGGATTGAAGTCTTAAATTTTCAATATTTGAACCTTTTTTTTGTTTTTATGACGTTGAACTAAGGACATTTGGAGAAGTGTCTGAGATTTTTGTGAAGGTAGAACTGGCTTATCATGGAAAATAGAAAGGTCTGTTCTTAGAAATTATGCCCAGAAATCTTACAAAGCAGGTGAAAATACTGGTTAGAAAATATTCAATATAATATTGTATTAAATTGTTATAAACATGAGTTTCAATAAAATTTGAAAGCTGATTATACTTCATCTTTGTGTAACTTCATGGCAGTCTGATTTTATAACTGATCCTTGGCTCATAGCAACCCCTCCTGGGGTTTCCGTGGCATTATCTCTATAGAAGTAGGTTGCCCAGTCTTCCTTCTGAGGAGTGGCTGGTGGATTTGAACCACCAGCCTTTTGGTTAGCAGTCAGATGCCTTAGGCACTACACCACCAGAGCTCCTATTTATAATTTAGTAAAAGAAAAAAAAAAAAAACTGGTTTATATAATGCTTCAAAACAAATATAAACATTCATATATATTCACATCAAGATAGAAATTCAGTATAAAAAAAAATCCTAAAACTGAAGGCATGGGTTGGTTAATAGAGTTTATTTCCCATAGGTTAAAAATATTTCAGAAATTTGTTTTGTTTTTATCTGGTACTTAGCAGATGTCACTAAGAAGCATTCCTTTCTTCCCAAAAAGAAATTTCAGTGTAAACATTACAATTAGAAGCACTTTGTCTCTAGATTATTGTATATGTTGATGGTAATGTTAATTTTACAGTGACCCACAAGCAATGGGCAGAGATGCAAATATTTTCATACAGGAATAGTATAAACAATATGCAGAAAAACAGAAGTATCTGAAAGGTAGGAAGTTATCCCTGGAGCATAAACATCTGCCCATTATTTTTGAAAGTTAGAAGGAACATTTTTTTTTCCCATCTAGATTATGAGTTCTGTGAAAGTAGAGACTCAACTTTTATTTATTTCTTCTACGTCTTACAAAGTATATTCCAAAAAATCAAACTCAACTGCCATCATGCCAAGTCCAACTCATAGCAAACCCCATTGGGTTTCCAAGGCTATAAATCTTTACGGAAGCAGACTTCCTCATCTTTCTCCTGCAGTGTGGCTGCAAGGTTCAAACCACCAACCTTTTGGTTAGTAGCCAAATGCCTTAACTGTACCACCAGAATTTCTTTACCAGAGTGTATTACCAAGAAACCAAACATACTGCCATCAAGTCAGATCTGACTCATATCGACCCCTCCTTGGGTTTCTAAGGCGGTATCACTATGGAAGTAGATTGCCCAACCTTCCTTCCAAGGAGTGGCTGGTGGGTTTGAACTGCCAGCCTTCTGGTTAGCAGTCTAATGCCTTAGGCACTACACCACCAGGCACCCTAAAAATGTTTAATTAATTTACCCCACACAGCAGTAAAATACACTAATACCCATCTTTTTCTATATTGTGTAATCCCCAGGCTCTAAAACAGTACAATAATAATGGCCCAAGGATTATTCTCAAATTCATGGAATTATAGCCTCTTTCAAGATAATAGTCTTAAAACAACAATCTTTTTTTTTTTTTCTTTCATTTGTTTTTTATTAATGGAGTATTTCAAACATGTCCATGCCAGCAAGAATGGAGCATGATAAGTTGGATACCCCAGTACTCCCCTCCCAACTTTATCATATCTTAGCATTATGTCATATTTGCTTGAAATATTTTATTTCAGAAGAAAAGAATTGTGGATACAGTTAAAGCCTTCTGTGGACCCACCCTGATCCCATTCCCTCTTACTCTCCTGAGAAATGCCTGCTATTTGAATTCAATGTTTTTCATTCTTTTGTATGTTCCTGTATTTTAACTAAATATTTGTTTCTATAAACATTATCTAGTGTTGTTTTTTCAGATTTATTTGATCTGGGATCAAGTATATTGTCGTCCCCCCCGGGGATTTTTATTGGAATTACCATGAATTAATAGATTTATTTAGGGTGAATTGAAATAGTCCTCTCATTAGCCTTCCAGTGGATAGATAAATGTATCGCTCCATTTATTGGTATTCTTTTATATCCTTCAAAATCGTTTTTTAATTTTTAGTTTCTGCTAGAATGCTTTTTGTTTTTCAATTGAGAATGGGACCATTTTTTTTCTATTACATTTTTAATTGTTTGTTACTAGAGCATAGGAAAGGAGCTCTGGTAGCACAGTGCCTAAGGCATTTGACTACTAACCAGAAAGCTGTGGTTCAAACCCACCAGCCACACCTTGGAAGGAAGGTTGGGCAATCTACTTCCGTAGTGATACCACCTTGGAAACCCAAGGAGGGGTCACTATGAGTCGGGTCTGACTCCACGGCACATAACAATAACAACAGCATAGGAACTGCTAGATTTTCTATGTAGCCTCTTTTTAACTCCATAGTTTATATTGAGTCTTTTCTATTTTCAGTGTACATCAAATGCAAAGAAGTATAGGATAGTAGTAAAAAGTATGGGTTATATCATTAGCCATTAGGAGATACAAATAAAAACTACAGTGAGATACCACCCCCCCCCCATTAGAGCGGCAATGATTTTAAAAAAAAAAATCGAAAACAACAGATGTTGGTGAGGTTATAGAGAAACTGGAGCACTCATCCATTGCTGGTGGGAATGTAAGATGATACAGATGTGTGGAAAAGAATTTGGCATTCCCTCAAAAAGTTGAACATAGAACTACTGTATGTCTCAGGAATTGAAAGCAAGGGCTCAAACAGATGCTTGTACACTGATGTTCATTGCAGCACTTTTCACAGTAGCTAAAGGGTGGAAACCACCCAAATGTCCATCAACAAATGAATGGATAACCAAAATGTGGTATGTACACACAGTGTAATACTGCTCAGCCATAAAGAGGAATGAAGTCCTAATGCATGCCACTACATAGATAAAACTTGAAAGTATTATGCTAAGGGAAATTAGTCATTAAAGGACAGTATGATCTCACTTATATGAAATAAGCAAATATGTAGAAACCAAAGAGAGTGGAACGGGAGAGTTTTCCTTGTGACATACTGAGTTTATGTTAATGGTGGTGGGATAATTTGGGAAAGGATGGCGATAGTGGTTGCACCACATGAATGTAATCAGTGTCACTGAATTACACATGGAGAAGTTATTGAGTTGGGGAAATGTTGCATATATTTTCAACAGATTTTTAAAAATGAAAGTACTGATTCTGAGAGCAACAAAAAAATTGATAAATTGGACTTCAAAATGAAAAATTATGCACAAAGGAATTTATCAAGAAAGTGAAGAGACGATAGGTGGTAACCATATATCTAGTAAAAGTTTAATATCCAAAATATATAAAGAACTACAATAACAAAAAGACAGCCCAATTAAAAAATGGGGAAAGGACTTGGAACACACATTTCTTTAAAGAAGATATATATGCAAATGGCCAGTAAGTACATAAATGGTGGCTATACATGTGGACCTCACCAGTTGGAATACACAGGCATCAGATTAACTACATCACCTGTGGAGAGAGGTGAGAGAGAGACTCGGTACCATCAGTCAAAACAAGGCCAGAAGCTGGCTGTGGAACGGATTATCAATTGCTCTTAAGCGAATTCAAGCTGAAACTGAAGAAAATTCAAACAAGTCCACGGGAGACAAAATACAACCTTGAATATATCCCACCTGAATTTAGAGACCATCTGAAGAATAGATTTGACCCGTTGAACACCAGTCACCAAAAACCAGGCGAGTTGTGGGATGACATCAAGAACATATATGAAGAAAGCAAAAGGTCAAAAAGAAAGGAAGAAAAGACCGAAACTGATGTCAGGAAAGAGTCTTAAACTTACTTTTGAATGGGAAGTAGCTACAGTGAATGGAAGAAACGATGAAACGAAAAAGCAGAACAGAAGATTTCAAAGGGTGGCTCGAGAAGACAAAGTAAAGTATTACAATGAAATGGGGAAAACCAAAAGAGAAGAACACACTCAGAATTCCTCAAGATGAAAAAGTTGAAAAAAAATTTAAACCTCAAGTTGCAATATTGAAGCATTCTATGGACAAAATATTGAATGATCCAGGTAACATCAACAGAAGATGGAAGGGGAATACACAGAGTCACTGTACTAAAAGTTCCACCATTTCAGGAAGTAGCATATGATCAAAAACTGATGGTAATGAAGGAACAAGTCTGCACTGAAGGAACTGGCAGGGGAAAAAAAAAGCCAAGGCTCCAGTAATTGAGGAAATACCCATTTTTAAGTTATCTTCAGAAAAATTTTGCTTGCATGTGATATTTATGATATTCTTTGATAATTCCTGCATTCCATTAGATCACCTTTCTTTGGAATGGGCACAAATATGGATTTCTTCCCATCAGTAGTAGAAATTCCTGATACTGTTTTTTTTTAAATACATATCATTTGATCACCACATATATGTTTGTGTATGTTACTGAATTCAGTTTGCTAATAGTTTTATTTCAAAAAATGCTTAGCTTTATTAGGTTAATACAACAAAATGTACTCTTTTTATAAAATACACTTTAATTTTTAGAGCAGTATTGTTGTTGTTGTTAGTGCCATCAAGTCGGACCCGACTAATAGCAACCCCTCCTTGGGTTTCCAAGGCAGTATCAGTACAGAAGTAGATTGCCCCATCTTCCTTCC